CATACGTTTTCGACGTCGACGTCGTCGTCGTCGTCGCAACGGGTTCAATGGCTGACCCAATTTCGGGCAAAGCGTCGAATGAGTGGAAAGAAGCAGACAAGAGCGAAGCACGCACTGTGAAGTTAAATAAATGTTGAAGTGTAGCGAAGTGGAGTGTGGAGAGTGTGCTGTAAAATTGAGCAAAGCAAAGGTGGGGTATGGTGGAGTTGGGCCTGTCAAAACGGGAAGTTGTGAAAGCAGCAGCAGTAGCCGCAGCCGCAGCCGCAGCCCGGGAGAGTGAGAGGGCAGAACATGTACGAAATGCTGCAGGAAGAATGCAGAGAGCAAAAGTTGGGCGCAATGACGACACGATGACACGATCAAAAGCGTCTGCTGCTCTCTTTGAATGACGCGCTCTCTCGAACTCTCTCCCTCTCTCTATTTGTGCATGTGCTTCTAACTGAGCTCAGCAGCTGTTACAGTTTGCTCTGTCGTTGTTGTTGTTACTGTTGTTGTTGCTGCTGTTGCGATTGTTAGTTACGTTTTTTCTTTCTGCTTTTGTTGCTTTTGATTTAGTTTCGTTGTTGTTGTTGCCTGATTGGCATTCATGTGATTGTTGCTTTTGCTTTTGTGGGTTCGTTGTTACTTTTATGTAATTTCATTTATTTTCACTCTTTCCGTGTCGGTTTTTTTTTTGCTTCTTTTTTTTCGCTACGTACTTGTTCACTTTCTTTGCGACAGAAGGGAGGCGCAACTGGCAGCCGTGTGTGCAAGCGAGCGCGCGCTATTCACATTGCAGCTTTAATGCAACCAAATTAGCAATGCGAACATTTCTCAATGTTATACGCACTATTATAAACATGTATCTGTGACTGTGTGCGTGTGCATGTGTGTGTGTTTGCGTGTGCGTGTGTATTTGCATATTAATGTGTGGCTTGGCGCTGCAAAATGTTATTGCTTGACCGTCAACCGCTGCGTATACGCAATGTGCAATTGCGAATAACGCATACGCCCCCTTGGCCGCACATCTATGCATATTCAGCATTGAATGCGACCAAACAACTGCTAAAATCAACAACAATAAACTGCACAGCCAGCTGCATCCTCAACAACAACAACAGCAACAACAACAGCAACAACAAGCACGTTGTTGCTTACAATTTGTCGATTACGTGAAAGTTTATTGAACTTTCGATTTCGCTAACAAATTTCAATTCAAAAGGTGGCGCACAATTGCACGCCGAACCAAACTATACACACACATGTATATGCATGTGTGTGTGTTTGTGTGTGTGTGTGTGTGTGTGTGTGTGCCTGCATAGTTTGCTCAGTGAGTCGCTCGGTCAACGAGTCAATGGCGGCTGTTGGCAGTTGGCAATCGACGCTTGAGGCTGCCGTCAAGCGAATCGAATGCAATCGTGACACACACACAGGCACATACACACACACACACACACACACACACACACACACACACACAACACATGCACAGTCAATATAGACACGATTGGCAACGGGGCCTGGCTACGAATTACCCTTAACAGTTCCTCAATTCGATATAAATTTCGATTCCCAACGTTATCAATATATCGATAGATAACTTTTAGCTAAACTATCGATATTTAAAGTTTATTCAATTGGCCATATATCGACATTGGGATTAATGCCGCGATGATATTTAGAGTCTATTCAACTAGCTTAGCCATATCTCATTCAGCTTCATATTTAGATATATATCGATACGTAAAGTTTATTCAATTAGCTTAGCCATTTTTCGACTTTCAGCTTTATATCTCGATATATATCGATAGTTCATGTTTATTCAATTTACCTGTTCTTGGAACATTCAGGTAACTTCAAGTATTGATTATTCTTCAATATATTGATATTTAAGGAGCACTCGATAGATTATATTATGTCCGACTAGGAGAAACCCTAAGGCCAACTGCCATTAAAAACATGCACACACGCACGCAAACCCCAGGGTCTTGACCCCCCCCCCCCCACACACACACCCCCCTTAGCCATCACTACGCATAGGAAATGCGTTCTTGATGAACTTCGGTGTTTATAATCCGATCCCTTTGAAATTTTCAGGGCCGATATAAGCCACAAAACTGTGCGTATATTCCAAAGTGCAAGGCTTTCTTTTCTATTTTGGATATAATCTGTATATCTGGAAATTTTTCCGATGTTATGAAAACAGGAGTTATCGGGTAAAATACACGAAAGCTGTCTTTTATGCTTTTGAAGTTCGCCATGAAAAGAGTATACGCTTATTTGTTTGTCTGTATTATTTGTCTTTGTCTTGTTGCTTCTTTCTATGCAATTTTTATGGCCATTTTGCTGCTGTTGTTGTTGTTGTGGCTGCTCTTTGCTTGGCCACTTTCCATTGCATAAGCAAAAGTTGATGAGAAGCTGAAAGTGGGTGAAGTTGCCCGCTTGCTTCGAATGGGGCACAGTTGTTAGGGGCAGTGGGGGGAGTGGGGGGGAGTGGGGGCGGCTGCTTGCAAGTAAGTGCACTGTACAAACACTTGAAAAATGGCCAAATGGACACTCAAGTCCCTCTCTCTCTCCCTCTCTCGCTCTCTTTTGGCATTTCCCTCGCTGCCTCTGCTCAATTTGATAAAAAGATTTACTTCCTTGTTTGCACCGCTGCAACACCCAACCCCCCCCCCCACCGCTTTCAGCGCCCCCTCACCGAGCCACGTTCACCTTCCCAGCGCTTTGGCCGCCGCCAATGGCCTCGACAACGCGCCCCGGCCTTCCTGTTGCACCCACAACAAGCGCTTGCAACGTTGACTCTATTAAAAGGTGGGCGGTGCGGGGCGGGGCGCGCGGCTTCGTTGTCTGCCTATAAACCACCGACTGCGCACCTATGTCAAGCGTGCATGTGTGTGTGTGTGTGTGTGTGTGTGTGTGTGTGTGTGAGGCATGTTATGTTGCATATTCAAACGGCAGCAGCAACAACAACAATAACGCTGCGCGACTCGTCATCAGCATGTTTTTTTTTGGTATACCCTGTACCCAATGTGCAGAACGGGGTGTAATGAATTTAAGCCAATGAATGTAACAGGCAGCAGGCATGCATACATATACATACATATATTCTCGATCAGCATCAACAGTCGAGTCGACCTGGCCATGTCCGTCAATCCCAGCAGCGATAACGGCTGTCATTTTATTCGAAATCGATAAATATCGATTCCTCAAACCGATAGTTGAGCATTTAGGCACGTAAGCTCCTTCATAGCAACCGCAGTTTGCAAGGGCTAATTAAATATAATCAAACAGGATGTCACCAAAATCGATCAAATATAAATCGATTATTGATATCTTGCACACGTTGGCCATCCTACATTTGGCTTCATTAAGCAGTTAAAATCGATAAATATCGATTTGTTGGTGAACACCAAATGTAGCTTGTAGAAGTGTATTAAGCATATACACAACAGACTGCAGGGTATTCTACTAGTCGGGCACGCCAACTACTTAGCTACAGTCCTCCTGTTCCGCCTCTCGCTCTCTCTCTCTCTCTCTCTCTCTCGCTCTCTCTGTCATTTCGTTCATTTCACCCACTCACAGCCACTCCCACTTGCGCTTATCCATCTGCTGTCACTGCTGCCTGCCCAACCCCCCCCCCCCCCTCCCCCTTGTTCCCTACTGCAGCTAGCACCCCCCACCAATCCAACGCCTGCGCCTGCACCTTCTGCATCTGCCAGCCATCATTGCAATTGGCGTCATTTCGTGCGCCGTCGCCGTCGACGTCGACGTCGCCGTCGCTGTTGCCGTTGCCGTTGCTTTTGCCGTTTGCATCATCACCTTGTGCCGTTGTCAGGGCATTGGCACAGTTTCTCTTCTTCTATATGCATGCATGTACACTAACACACACACACACACACACACACACGTATATATATATATATAGCTGTCTGCTTTTGCGCTTGCCTGTATTTGTATTTATATGTTTTTGCTTTTTTGCTGCGCTTCTAATTCGCCTTTTGATTTTCTTGTTTTCGCAGTTGCAGTTGTTGTTTTTGTTGTTATACTTGCAGACGAACTTATTGAAAGGGTATTTATTATTGGTGTATTAGTCTGTGCATGTCTGTGTGTCTGTGTGTGTGTGTGTGTGTGTGTGTGTGCGTACGAATATATAACAAGAGCTGAAAGCTTAACAACTTCGAGATCACGAATTTTAACTAAAGCGAGTTCAAGCCGCGAGACAAATATTTCGATCAATATATTGATAACAATGTCGACACAAACATATCAATGTCAATCGTATCGATAACAGGGGCATTGATTAGGGAAGTGTTTCTTTATACAATATCGATAACAAAATCGTGACATAACTATAGTTTCTCTTAACAACATATCGATAACAATATCGACACAAATATGTTGATATCAAGCACAAAAGAGTTGCCTACATCAAATCGATACATCACAACGACACAGATTAACACCATAACCGTAACGATATCGATACCAATCGATAATTATCAGAGTACTCCTCTCCGATACTGATGAAAGTTTCTTCCTTCAATCGAGAAAAATGTTTTTAAGTTTCGCTGTAACTGCACAAATGTCGATAGCTATAACTAAATCGATTAAAATATCGATTAAATAGTACATAACTTATTCAAAACAGCGTTAAGAACTTATGCAATACAGTTTCAAAATATTAACAATGAATATATAAGTAGTATAATATAATGTGGGTACACAAATACAGTGGCCCCTCGCTAATGAAAACGATTTCATTTTAGAGTTGAGTATAATAGACTTTCATAAATGAGATCTAAGCCTGAGCTCCTTCATGTAATCTTTGATTTATATTTTTACAGTTATATCCTATATTTTGTGAGGGACTCAGCATGCAACTCTGAAATCTGTAATCGTTGCATTTAGAGGTTCGCCTCTTATCTTAGCATACTTACTGGCTGTCCCTGCGTTTGGGTAATGGGAAAGTCTTTGCCCGATTGCTGATTATCGATAACTGGAAAATAATCAATACCTACCCCGTTAACTGCACGCGAGGCAGCGGCAATTTCTGCTGTGGCAACTTCTACGGCTGCAAGTCCCGCTCCGCGTAGATGGAAATGGCTGCAATGGAAAATGGAAACGGAAGGAAAAGCGAGAGTTAATAATAATTAAGTTTGAAATGCGGCTAGAACTAATATGATGCTACAGGTGAGTGAAGAACAGAGAGAGGGAGAGCAAGAGCAAGAGCTGTAGAGGGGGGGAGAGAGAGAGAGAGAGAGAGAGAGAGTGCGAGCGAGGTCGCTGACAAGTCAGTGACCGAGAGTCAACTGTGCGCATGAGGGACATTTGGCTGACCACGGCGCGACCCTGGATATATTTTTGGTTGCCTGCCGTGCAGGGCAGACCACGGCGGGTTGCATACCCTATATATGCACATATGTATGCGCATATACCCTGGGACATGTTGGCGCTCGCTGTGGCCCAGGTAATTGAGGAAGCTGGCGCTTTGGCCCGGCTGAAAATCAATGTCTATGTCTGCGACGCTGTCTCCACTGTGTGGGCCACTAAAAAAAGCTTGTGAGGGTCGCGGTGAGGGACGTTTGCCGTGTCATTGTTGTTGCAGTGCATTTGCCAAAAAAAGCTCTTGCCAGCAGCGGCAGCGGCAACGGCAGCGGCAACGGCAGCGACTTGCTCTCCCACTTGCAGAAAGCTTTTTGCGCTCTCTTACAGGCGGCGGCAGCTGCGCTCGCTCGCATTGCAAAAAGAAAGAAACTAAATAAAGGAAAACTGCGCGACGTCGCTGCCGACGCGACCTGCCGCCTGCGCTGGGCTATTGGGATAGGTCCAAGTCCAGGCACTGTGTGCTTGCGTCTCTGTGTATGTGTGTGTGTGTGAGTGCTTTTGCGTTCGCCTTGCTACAAATAGCGAATGATTGCAGTCGCATTTACCGTTGCCTCGCTCAGTCGGTTAGTCAGTCAGTCTATGCAGTCCGCCCCTCTCCTCCCCGCACTCATTGTTTTATGCCTCTTTCGCCGCACATTCCACCCAGCCATGCACTTTGCTCGCCTTTGCGCATTGCATTTGAATATATTTTTATTCAATTCTTTTTATTTTCGCCACAGCAAGAACAACGGCCAACTCCTAGCGAGAACTGCACTACACAAAAACATGCATGGCCGCCCCCCTTCTGCCATGCCCTGCACAATTTTGTTTTCATGCAAAAAGGTTGAAGACCTTTCACCTACTTTTGTCGCGGACGGGGCGAACGTCGGCGCAGGGCGAAGAGCAAACTGTTTTTCGCTGTGTGCGAGCGCCAGCGAGTGTGGCGAGCCAAGGCGAGGCGAAGACAAACAAAACAACTGCCTGTCAAGTAAATGATGGCGCAGCGACTATTGAATACCCTGTATGCGTTGCAGATCTATCTACTTATAATACCAATAATATATTAAAATAATACAAATCTAAATACTGAATGAAAATTGTGTTCGTATTTTAAAAATAGATGATATTAATATGAAAACTACCTAACAATTTTCAACAATAACTATCAAACAGCTTATTATTAAATGCAAATCATGTTTTTCAAATATAATATCATCAGACCCTAATTATTAAAATCAAATCGAAAACATTTTTGGCGTAGCACGTTTTGTTTTAAAATCACAATTTTTTGGTAGATTATTTTTTTTTTCCATTTTTTTCCAATGATAGATGGCCCACTTTCGACGTACGTATAAAAACATGCGGCACTCATACCTACATTATTTGTTCATTTATTAGTAAGCACTCTTAAATTTCTGTACACACATCTAGCATATGTGTATAAGCGAAATTCATAGTTATAATAGGCTATTTTAAAAAAGCACAATTCTTAGCCGAATTCAATGCTACTCTTTGAAAATCGTTAAAAAATTAATAAAATAACTGTTGGCCAAAGTTTTGATAAAGTCTGCATGAAATGCCTGACAAAACTGTAATGATTAATGCAAGGGTATTTCAATAGAAACAGATGCAGCAGCGGGCGCGAATGAAGTATGGACGAAAGATGCAAGAGAGGAGCCTGATCTCTGTGTGTGTTTTTGTGAGTGTAGCTTGCGTTATGCGTGTGTATTGGTGTGCACATATATTTAGCACATTTAGTTTGTTCGATTCGCAATTTTTTGCGCTTGCTGTTGTTGTTGTTGTTGTTGTCTGTGCTGTGTATTGAATGCAAGATCGTTTAATATTAGGTTTTTTGTAATGCAATCCTAGCAGCTGCAGGTAACGGTGACTAATTGAACAGACGCAAAATGAAAATGTAAAATAATATATGTATGTTGATTCCCGTTGCCTTGCCCAACAGCTGACCCGCTTCAGTCGCTTTCTTTGCGGTAATTTTGTTGCTCTTTTGATTCTGTTTTACAGTTCTTTATGCTTTTCTTTTTCTTTTTCATTTATGCCTTGTTGTTGTTTTTGCCAGCCAATCGCAAATTATTTGGGTCAATTATAAATATTAAACGCAATTAGCAATGAAATTTCAATTTCATTATCACCAACGTTGACGGCGACGTTCGCAGCGCGCAAAAAAAAAAAACAAAACAAAACAAATTTGTTGACGACGCGCACAACGCGAATGATAAGCAATAAGCGAGTGCAAGTGTGAAAGAGAGGGGGCACAAGCAGAGACGGGTTCGGTGATGAGCTGGGCAATGCATGAGCCAGAGATGGATTAGGGGGGGGCAGCTGCGGAGCTGCGGGGTCTGAGTGCTGGCGGCAGCAAACGATGTCGTCGTCGCCGTCGTCAGCGTCATCGTTTGTTCTCTCGCGCAATGTCAAGATTATTGTGACCTTAATTTTGGACATTGTCAAAAATTACGTTGAACACACGAAATGCGTGTAAACAATAGTTAGATAAGATGCAGCAGCAGCAGCAGTAGCAGCAGCAGGAACAACAACAGCAGCTGCCGCTGTTAGACGGCTGTTAAAAATGAAAACTCACTGACAGCCAGTCCTTGACAAATGCCAAATGGCTTATCGTAGCATGCAATTCATGCACTCCCAAGACCCAAAGCCCACCCACTTCGTGGTCTACTGGTCTTTTTATTTTCTACCTGCATGCTAAAATGTCAAAACAGAAAGGCGCAAATTGCGCCAATTGCAGTAACAAAAACAACTGCAAGCAGCTCTTCTATTACAGACGCACACACACACATGCATAGAGCGAGAGAGAGAGAGAAACACACATACATGCAAATGCCCGCCCGCCTGCCGCCTCAGCGAGTTGTTAATTGTCTTTGACTTGGAAATGACCTTAAACTAGGTTAAAGCTCGCCAATGTTGACCAAGATGGGCTGCGCGGGGTTGCGGCGGCGGCTGCTGTGCTTTTGTCTGTGCAGTCGCTATAAATTTGAACTTTCTGTGCACCAGAGCGTGACTGCAGCGCTGCGAGCGCGTGTGTATGAGCAAGAGAGAGAGCGCAAGAGGAAGAGACAAGCATGAATATTAAATTAAGCAGCATGCATATGGAACTATGCAGGAAACGATCCCATGCAATTCGATGCACAGTTCGCAAAAAATAGAATGTTAACGAAAAGCTCTGCTAATTGCTTAGATATTTACGTATGTACATATGTATGTATATGTACATATATACATGTGCATGTATGTATGTGTGTGTGTAATTAATTTCTATTTGCCAAGAGAAAGTAAAAACAAAAAAATAAAATGGGGAAAAAAACCATCATTCATTGCTCATCAAATTTGACGGCAACGGTTCGTTTTCTATTGTGTGACCCCCCCCCTCTCTCTCTCTCTATCTATCTCTCTCTCTCTCCTTGCTGGCTCTCTTGACTCCCAATAATCATTGTGGCGCTGTTGCGGCGTAGGCGTTAAGTCAGCTGCGCAGCGCCAAAAACGAGAGAGCGCAACGAACTAAATACAAGAAGAGCAACAACAATGCGCATTACAATCAAATAACATAACAAGGGCCAGCCAACCAGTTGGCAACCCCCCCCCCCCCCTCACTCAATCTCTCTCTCTTCCTACACACCAACTCTTGTGTTGATTTGAGCACAGCTTGAAATCGCTGAGAATGAGAGAGAGCAGCAAAACAGAACGACTGTATATGTGCGTGTGTGTTAGTGTTGGCTGCGCCAAGAGAACGCCCGTGAGAGAGCGGCGGCCAAAAGGTGAATGACATGCCCGCCATAGACTTGGCGTTCGCTACAATTCGGCTTTGACTTCGTTAATATCGAAAATGCAGAGCATTAGATGTGCTTGCTTTTGTTGTTGTTTTTTCATACACATTTAGAGCTAAATTTGTGAAGCGGCGAACTTTCAAAAAAGAAACAAACTTAATGCACAGAACGAAACGGGCGCACAGCAGAGCAGACAGCCAAAGCTTTTCAGCGCACAAAAGCTTGCGCTGCTGACTGGCTGCTGGCTGCTTGCTTCGTGTTCGATGTGCGGTGTTCGTGTTCGATGTTCGTGCATGTTCGGCAACGGCAATGACAGTGTAGCTGTGCCTCGTACTTTACATTCTGCCTCTTAGTAGGTCAACAAAATTCCGGACAATGGCCTTTCGCTTTCGTCTGAGCGTCTGCGATGCGTCGCTGTCGCTGTTGCTGTTGCTGTTGCTGTTGCTGTTGTCGTCGCTGCAACTGCAGCTAGAAGCGACGCTGGCGTCGGCGCCAACAGCGAATGAGCGTGGAAATGTAAATAGAAGCGTTGCAAAGGCGAGCGAACCACCGCAATTTGCCCAACGACGGGCCCATTGCCTGTCAGGGCAACTCACACACACACACAAACACACGCACGCACACATGCATATATCACAGGCATGTTTGCATGCAGTCGCCGCGATGTGCATGAAGATATTTCAGCTGTCGCTGCCGCAGTCGATACCGTTTTTTTTCTTTTTTTTTTTTCTAATTTTCTTCTTTTTTTTTATTTATTTATATTTTTGCTTTGGCGATGGCGTAATAGACATGTCCGCCTCCTGCTGTGGCAGCGTCTACGTCTGCGGCTGCGACTGCTATTGATTGCCAGCTGGAAGCTTGATGTGCCATGTGCCATGTGCCATGTGCAGCGCACGCCCCACTCTCCACACATACCTCCCCCCCCCCCACACTTGTTCACTAACCAATCACATTGCTGCGAAGCTGTAAACAAGATGAAGAAGAAGAAGAAGCCGTAGAAGTTGGCCAGTTGAAGCGATATTAACTTGAACTCTAAATAAATTGAGATGTCTTTTGTTTCAAATGAAAAGTGAAGATATATATAAACGTACATATATATATACATATATGGATTCGTCTGTATTATATAGATAAAAGGAGCTTTTTCTTCCTGAATAGACATTGAGTATTCTTTAAAATCTCAAAGTTATATAGCTAATAAATGATAATATATACATATATGTATATATATGTATATGTATATGTATATAGGGAGCTTTATCTTATATAGGGAGCTTTATCTTACTTAATAGACATTGAGTATTTCCCCGCAATGAGCTTTTTCTTAACGTTTTATGCCTTAGCTTAATTTTATAATATATATATAATTTTATATAGCTATTTATTACGAAATTCCTGCAATTGGATCTATGACTGTACAATGGAAATTGTGAGCTTTCGAGAATTGTAATTTTCCAGAAATTGGGAACCTTGCGACATTTGTACTGTCTTTACCTACGCAAAAAATGAGAATATTTGACAAATTAGCAGTTGAAGCAGTTCGAATTAACGAGTGATGACTGTATCTAACATTTTGCATTAATAGATGTATATTAGGGAAAACAAAAAGTACCAAGAGTCTGTTTAACAAAGCTTTCAAAGAAAAGCACAAGTACAGTGAAACATTGCTAAGACAAACCTTCTTTATTGGTTTCTGCTTTCAATTGAAAAGGTTTTCACAGTTCAGCAAAGCTCTTGTTCGATTTTAAAGTCTATCAAGGCCGACTTTTTGGCCGACTTACAGCTTTGTTAAAGCGCATTTCCTATAATTCCCAAACAGTTGACGCAGCTTAAAGCTCGAGTTGTTCGCTAGATCGCAGTTAACTGAGACTTCAGCATATCCAAAGTTTAGCCTGAAATGCGAGACTCGACTCTAGTTTTCCAATTCTGAGATATAGTGAGACATGTATAGTACAGTGAAGCAATGCTAAGGGAAACCAGTTAAGTCAGCTCTTTCTGTAAGATTCTGCTTTCTTAAATTCTTGTTGCTTAAAGCTTCGTTAAAGCAGCTTTCTTATGATTCACAAACGGTTGACGCAAGTGAAAGCTCGAGTAGTTAGAGTCGCCGCAACATTTGCTAACTGCGCGTTTCTCTGGAAAAAAGGACTTATTTTTAGATGAAAAATGCATGATGTGAAGTTTGAAAAGGGTCCTGTCACAACCAGTTGTAAGTTAGCCGTGGAACCCAACGGCGCGCGTGTGAAAGTGTGTGTGTGTGTGTGTGTGTGTGTGTGTGAGTATGTAGGTTAGAGGGCAGCGTACATTGCACTCACACAGACCGAAGGACAGATTGTGGGAGTGGGAGGGGGAGGGGGAGTGGGAGGGGGAGGCGGCTTGTCCTTATATAAAAACTACCAGCCCCAGAGCCAGGCCAACAGCAGCAGCGAATGGCCAAGTCAACTCAGGCGAATCCTTGACGCTGACGTCGACGCTGACGTCGACGCCCAAGTCACGTACCGTGGAGTGTGCTCGAAAAGGCGGCGACACGCCAGCCGAACCGTACCCAAAACCGAACCCGAACCCAACCGAACCCAACCGAACCCAAAACCCGTCCAAATGGGGGCGTGCAGTCAGCTCCAGACAACTTGCCACGAGCCCGTTGCCCGCTGCCCGTTGCCCGTTGCATATTTATGAGGCACATACGTCCATGGCTTCCTCTGCTACCTCTGCTTCCTCTGCCTGCGCCCGTGCGAAGGTTGTTGGCACAGATTTGCGGCAGTCCATTGTACCCGCCGAAGGATGCGCAATCCTTCGTCCGCCAACAACCTTGGGCAACAGCTAATACTGCATAATTCAGGACGAGTCCATAAGCTACGTGCATATATAAATATATAGATATATATATATTCCTGATCCCTTAATGCGTCAATTTAATCTCACAGCTAGTCCACGGCGAAGGTCCTTTTATATGCCTCACAACATTAAGAGAGCTCTCTCCACATTCGCTCAGGTCGTTAGACATCGATAGACATCGGTAGATATCGATAGACATCGATAGATATCGATAAGCGAGCGCAATTTGTCGTTTAGTTATCGGAGATCGATAAAGAGCTGAGGTCCATTTGAATAGCATTCACGCCGATGTTTTCCCAATCGATAATGCGATTCATATCAATTATTATCGACTTTTATCGATTATAAGCGATATTTATCGATTTCCAAATCTGCATACACATTGTAAGTCAATCAGTTGGATTGCAAAACAAAATTTGCTATGCTTGGTGTGACATTGACTAATCGATAAATATCGTTATCGATAAATATCGATTGGGAGTATATCAAAGCGGGAATTCGAATGTACATATAACAAATAACATTCGCAAATCATATATAACGCTGACATTTAATTATTGCCAATAATCGATAAATATCGATTTTATAGTATATCATGCAGTTCATCATCGATAAATATCGATATGCAATTGGCTTCTATGTGAATTCATGCGCACATATGGGAAAGCTGATTTGATATGCGTGAAAATTTCAGAGGAGTTGGCCAAAAGAAGCATAGACTGGGTAACTGCTAGTCGGGCACGCTCGACTACATTTTTTAATGGGTATCTGCTCAAGTCGCATATAAACTTACATACATAAGTGTTTATAAGCTAACTGCTCTTACTGCTGTTGCAACGTCCACTTGCAACGCCCGCTTGCAACAGCCGCTTGCAACAGCCGCTTGCCACTTACCCCTCGTCTGTGCTGCGCTGCCTATGGTCGGTGCTGCTCCTGAATCTGAATCTGTCTCTGGTTCGTATTTGATGTGTTGTTGCCTTTGTTGTTTTGATGCTTGTTGGTTTTGGTTTTGTTCGTGTTTTTGTTTTTGTTTTTGTCGCGTTGCGATTAATGTAGCTGCCAATATTCACATTGACTCTGTGGACGCGGGCAAGACGGGTGCTGCGGAGAGAGAAGAAAAAAAAGAGCAACAACAAAAATTTGAATTAGTGCAAATTTTCTCAAGTTAGCGCGCTTGTGTCTTGGCTAAGCTTAGCGCGTGCATCAACCCAAACGCAAGGCTGCTGCGAACTAATAGACAGATGGCGTCAGTGTTAACGTAAGGTGTCGCTGCACAGTCAACAGATGGCGATAGCAAGCTTTTTAGCCAGCAGAAGCTCGGCGCGCTGAATAAACTAACAGCGACTTAACAGTGCTAACATATGTATGGCTTGGTGACTTAACAGCGCCGAGACATGTGCAACTAATGCTGCATGCTTAATAGCGCGCGCTTTTTTTTAGCATAAGCGTGAGCAGCTGCTAAACAATGGCGGCAACATATGAATATTTGTAGCGCAGACACGAACCACACACGCCTAGCTGTTGAGCTGCCATTACAAAATTTAATTATTATATATTGAGAATATGACAAATCAAAATACCTGCTGCACAATAATAAACTTTACAAACACGTGTGTTTATATATAAGTATATTAAGATATAAACGCATTCGTTGGCTGCAGCTGTTCGGCATTTACAGCTCTGTTAGCTAAAGCTTGCGCTCTCTTCACTGTTACTGCTGTTGCCAGCGTGGCGCTCTTAAAGCATTGCTCTCCCGCTCGACCAACTCTTCGCTGGCAAGTTTATTGACTTGCCTCTTGCTTTGGCTCTTCTGTTTTGAAATTCTGTTGTTGTTGCTGCTGTTGCTGTTGTTGTGTTTGTGTGTCAATCGGTTTCATTAACCCGGCGAATGCAACGACGTCAGCGTCGACGTCAACGTCGCCAATGGCAGACACAGCATGAAAGGTCAACAAAGTACGTTCCACACACACATATGCACATGTACATGCACATGCAGATGCACATGCACTTGTGCGTGGCCTGCGGCAACTTGAACTCTAAAATGTCACTAAATACGAAGTGGCACTTACAGCCTGCCCCTTACCCGGGTCCAGCCGCACGGCACCTGCTGCCGCCGGCGACCCCGTCGAGCAGCAACAACAACAACAACAGTGCCAGCCAGCAAATGCGGAAGAATGCATAACGCAATGCCACAAATGAAACGAAAACAAAACAACAACAAAATTACAAACAACAATAACAACAACAACAACAAGAATGGCGGGCAGCGCAACAATAACACGGGCAAAATCTAAACAGAGCTGCGTACACAGCGGATTTCCCGCTAAAATTTAATTGCGCATCAAGAAGCTGTTAACGCACACACGCACACCCCTTCCTCCACCCCTCACGCCGTCAGGCAGCAGAACGAAACCTGCATTGAACGAAACTTCGTCTTTCGACTTCGACTTTCGTCCAGAGTTGGTCGCTTGTCGTGCTTTTCTTCTTCGTGACTTTGGTTTATTCGTGCTTTAAATCTCTTATCAAGTTAATCCAATTGGAAATAAGACAAGGCCCCAAGCTATGGCAAATGCAGTCTTTGGTAACTTCGGTATTTATGGTCCGATCTTTATGAAATTTGCAGCACTCAAATATGGCATACTTAAGTGTGTGTATACCAAAGCTTCCCTTGGCACATCTAGTTATTCCTTCAGTTTTTTGTATAAAGGAGGTCGCTAAATACTTACTTATATAGATTGGTTAATCCTATCAAGTTCTTTTCAATAATGTGCACTTAAGTTGATTAAGATAATACTCTAAACCCTGGTAACTCAAAGACTTATTCATGCTTTGACAATGTTCAAGAAGCGGAAAGACTTGTTATTAAAGTAAAGAAATCACATTAGTCATACTTCTAGATAATTACTTTGCCAACATTATATTCTCAGCTTCTGCCTCTATCAACCGATTCGAAAAAACAAAGTAAATGAACTCTGACTAGGGAGAGTTAACTTTTGAAATTTCTGGGCTCTAACTCTTGGAGTTACTGATAGATTGCATAGGCGATTTGTAGCCTACTTTTAGGATTAAAGATATATAGCAAAAAATCTATCCAACAGATTTCTTTGATATGTAGAAGAAAGAACCAACATGCCAAATTTCAAGAATCGTTGTCTTATATTTGCTGGGCTCCGATAGACAGACTGCGAAAAAAAGCATATTCTGCAGGTTAAACGTATGATATAGGAGAGAACTTATGAATTTATATCTTTTAAGTGAAAAAGATTATATATGTATGCTGAGTTCCAATAGATAGGCTGCGAATAAGAGCACATTGTGAAGGTTAAATGTATGATATAGAAGAGAACCTTTAGTTTTATATTTGTTTAAATTTCAGAGATCCTACATATACAATTTCCAAGGTCTAGCTCTGATTGTTGCTGAGTTCCGATAACATTATACTTTTCAGGTTAAATGTATGACAACAGAAACTATGTACAACATATTGTAAATTGTGATGCACCTATATACCAAATTTCTAAAATATAATCACATTTTCCATGTAGATGGGCGGACATTCTAAATATTTGAGTCAAGGGATTAAACATGTGATATAGGGAGAAAAATGTAAAACAAATCGAAATGCTGCCTGGAAGAGAATTTGCAGAGTTCAGCTCTCTTGGTTGTCGATTTCGAATAGATAGGCAGGAAGTATTAAGTAGGATCTGCGAAGCAAATACACTTTGCAACACTGTCTCTGGTCAACACTGTCTCTGGCAAAACGAAGCGCATGTTAAAGCTGTTGTCATTCGATGATCTATGATTCTGCTGCTGTTGTTGTTGGCTTCATTCTGTTTGTCAACAGTTGGCAGCAACGCGGCGCACACACACACACGCACACACACACGCACACACACATATAGAGACGTTTACATTTGGCCTTGTTGTTGTTGTTGTTGTTGTTGTTGTTTCGCATTGTGTGCATAACACAAGACAAACAAAAGTATCCGCCGTGTTCCGTCAGTTCCACACTCCGCACTCTGCACGGCCTCAGGCCAACAGGCACAGTGGGACACTGGGAACAGAAGGGAGGGGAGGGGGGGGGGGGGGGGGGAGCAACGTAGGAGTCAGCACACGGCAGCAGGCTAAAGGCAGGCAAAAATAAAAATAGATTTTTCTCGGTATATAGGATAACGACCAGGAACGACCCCAAAAGCGCGGCCGCACGGGCAACGACCGGCAAAACACAGACGCAAAAGCAAAAACAACAAAAATAAGAAGAAGAAGGTGAAGAAGAAGAAGCAGCAGAGACAAAATCAACGCAAGTTCCGTTTGGCGCGCGTGCTCTTTGACGTTGCGAAGAGAGCGCTCCCTTTCAGCCCTGCGCTCTGTTAGTGCGTCTGTGTGTGTCTGTGTGTGTGTGTGTGTGTGCCGCTCTTTAGGTCCTACCGCACGACATGCACACACGCAACACACACACACAGATGCACATTGTAATTGAAAGAGCGCGAGAGAGAGCGCGCGCGCGGCTGCTATTGTTGTGTGCGTTTGTGTGTGTGCGTGCGTTTGTGTTTGTAGGGGTTGCTGACCTCTTCTCAGGGTCGCCAAAGGTTGTTCAACTCAAAAAAAAAAAAAAAAACCAAACAAAACAAAACACACACAAAAAGGAGCTCAATGTATGCCGTTGCTGCGCACTGGCGGGCGTAGGGACGCGTTTGCCTGCCCAAACAACCCCGCCACCCGCTGTTCTATTGCCACACACACACACAAAACTCTCTCTCTCTCTCTGTGTGTGCGTGTGTGTGAGTGTGTGTTTGGCGCTTGTTGGGCGCCAAAAGTGTGCTGGTCGTTGCCCTCGCTGGCTTTGCTCCTGCCCCTGCAGCCCCTGCTGCCCCGCGCCCACACTCTGCTGCTATCTTTGTCCCGCTTGTTGGGGCGCCCTGACGTAATGTCGCAACAGGGCATTTCCCGCATTCCCCCCCCTTCGGCACACTCTTCCTATCTCTCTCTCGCTCGCTCCCTCGCTTGCTTACCTTGGTTCTGGCGCTTGCCGGCATTTTGTTGTTGTTATTATTGCAACACATTTGCCACTTGGTTTTTTGCGCGCAAAGTTGCAACTTGGAGCTGGGGGTAGGTGCACGTAGGGCTGCTGCAACGTCCTCAGCTGCGCTGCGCTGCGTGGCGCTGTGCATAGTTTTATACATTGTCTGAGGTTAGGGTTGAATGCGCGACGCGCGAGCAATTTTTTTTTGTTTTGTTTTTTGTTGTTGTGTTGTTGTTGTTTACTTTGCTCTGCATTTTCAACTGTTTCTGTTGCTGTGCGCCATTTTCTTGTTCTTTTTTGTTTGCTATTTGTGTTCTTGTCTACGTTTTCCTAATCCTGTTTTTATTCCTGTCATCATTTGCATTTGCAATTTTTTTTATATTCCAGTTTTCTTTCCAATTTCCACTTTTCATAACTGTTCACATATTGTCTTCCATCATCCCATAACATTTCCCAAAAAACAAACTAGGCATGGCAATTCAAAAAGGCAACGAAAAGGCAATTCTCTAATGAATTGGAATAGGCGTACAGCACAATGTGATAGATGCTTGGAACTGGATATACTGGATATACTAGATATAGAAATATTTCAACAGAGTAAGCCCAAAAGCTGTATCTATAAATGTGACAAGTTCTGAAAATATTGAATAGAAAACAGTTGAGGGAAGAAATAGAACAGATATATAAGAATGCACCCTATGGATCCTATGCTTAATTATGCCATCAAATATTGTTTTACCCATTGCTAATTATATTTCTATTCCTATTCCTGTTCCCATTCCTATTTCTATTCATATTCATATTCATATTCATATTCATATTCCTATTCCTATTTATATTCCTATTCCTATTCCTATTCCTATTCCTATTCCTATTTCTATTTCTATTTCTATTCCAATTCCTATTCCTATTCCAATTCCATTCCTATTCGTATTCGTATTCGTATTCGTACTCGTATTCGTATTCGTATTCGTATTCCTATTCCTATTCCTATTCCTATTCCTATTTCTATTCCAATTCCTATTCCTATTACTATTCCAATTCCATTCCTATTCCTATTCCTATTCCCATTCCTATT